GATGATGATGATGATGATGATGATGATGATGATGATGATGATGATGATGATACAATAGCAATAGCAATAGCAATAGCAGTTAGACTTATATACCGCTTCATAGGGCTTTCAGCCCTCTCTAAGTGGTTTACAGAGTCAGCATATTGCCCCCACAGTCTGGGTCCTCATTTTACCCACCTCGGAAGGATGGAAGGCTGAGTCAACCCTGAGCCGGTGCGATTTGAACAGCAGAACTGCAGCTAACAGTCAGCTGAAGTGGCTGCAGTATAATGCACTCTAACCACTGCGCCACCTCGGCTCTTACGTGACCCCAGCACTGATCTTGGCCAGCCTCAGATCCAAGAACAGCATTGCTGAAAACACGGAGAGCTACGATGACCTGGACGAGTCGCACACCGAGGACTTCTCCTCCTCCGAGATCCTGGACATCTCGCTCTCCCAGACCACCGACTTCAGGGAGCCCAAGCGCAGCTCCTCCGAGGAGACGTTCAACAACTTCCACGAGGCCGACAGTCCCGGCGCCGTCTCCCCCAACCAGCCTCGCACCGCCCAGCAGCCCCGAAGCCTGACCAATGGCAGCGCCCAATCACCGCCCCACTACGCCCACAGGGGACATCCCCAGCCTCCCTCTCATGCTGGGGTCCCCCCGCCCATGTCCGGAGTGGCCCCATCCAGCCCGTCATTCCGGAGGCTGCCTGTTCATGGGGAGCTTGGAGGGTGCCAGGCCGGGGCCTGTGGGAGCGTCCTCTATGGCAGCTTGCAGGGGCCACCGTGGCTCACTTCCAGGCGGGGGCCGCCTCTGCCAGGGAGCCGTGGCCGGTGCAGCGAGTGGCAGGGCCTGCCAGGTGGGCAAGACCCTCACGAACCTTGCCGCTGCTGGCAACGGCATGACCCTGCAAGGAGGGAACCACCCTGGGAATGTTTCTTTCTTCGCATGCCTTTGGTAAATGTGCCCGGTCCAACGTCTTTCCAGCAAATGGAAATTGCTTCTCACATGGACAATTATATGTTGCGTGTTCTAGAGTCCACAAACCAGACAATCTCTATATCTGCAGAGACAATGGACCACCAAAAAGTATTGTATACCCTAAAGCATTGTGAAATTAAACATACTAGAAACTTGCGCTTTCTTTTTTCTTTCTTTTCCAATTAACCAGACTGGGCCACAGCAATAGGTAGCTGGGTACAGCTAGTAGTATAATAAAATGATACTTTTTGCCATTTTTTTCTTTCCCCAGCAGCTGGGAAGGGGAGGGATCTCAACTAGATCTGGGCATTCAGCCAAAAGCACTCAAACACTTAAAATGTAACAAACATGAATCAACAAACTAGCCCAGTGCTTGCCTGAAGGAAACCATTGAGAAAACTCAGATAGCCATCGGAAAAATCCCTGCCTTGCCCTTAAAGGGATTATTCGCAAAAGAATAGAAATCACATAGCCAAAGGAACTATCTGTCTTGCCCTTGAGAGGATTATCTCCCAAAAATAGAAACTGGACAAAAGAAGTACCTCTTAAGGCATTTTTTTTCCAGTCCTAATGCCTGAAAGGGAGCTTCACTTGTTAGCACCTCATTACGGCTGAAAAAAGCTTCCAAAAAGCTACATTAGGAGTATAAGATGCACCCAAATTTCTACCCTCTTTTAGGGGGGAAAAAGGTGTGTCTTATACTCCGAAAAATATGGTACCTTCAACTTGACAAATAACTATACCAACAAATCAGAAGAAATACCCGTAGCATCATCATTCTCTGGACTTATAGCAGAAACCATAGTCCAACACCTAGAAACTATAGCCAATTATAGAATTATAGGTTCCACATATACAACCCAAAGTATGGATCTGGTATGTGATGACACCTTTGTCGTAAAAAAAGGAACAACTAGAGAAGACACATGAAGCTATCAGCAACATCTTCAAAGGACTAAAATTTATAAAGGAAGAAGAAAACAATGCACTGCCCTTCCTGAATATTATTATCAGCAATGATGGCAAATTAGAAACATGTCTATCATAAAACCACCCACACTAAGCAAGTGCTCCACTAGAAAATAACAATCCAACCTCCCACAAGTTTAGACAAGCATAAATACTCCAGCGACCCTGGACATCAAAAAAAAAAAAAAAAGGAAACATGATCTATACCAACACCTTCCAACAAAATAGATACACATTTTATCAAAACATGCTTGACCACTTAGCCCACTACAGCACAACTAACACAAGCTGTGAAAAGCTTTGCCNGGGTGTGTTTTTTTAAAAAACTTTTCAATATTCTTTTCTATGAAAACTCCCCATTTTGAGTATTTTGAGCTTGAAACAAAGCTGATCCAAACTTACAAACACTGAATTTCAGGCTCAAAGCATTTCCAGAGCTCTTAGTTTTTAGTTTCTCAGTTGAACAAGCAGTTCTACAGATGGAACACATTTCATGAAATTTCAGACTCAAAACAGTCTGAAGATAACATTTTGCAATTCTCAACCATTTAAAAGATTAGAAAATGGAAACAAAAAAGAGCCAAGAGGTCATCTGTTTTCAGGATCATTTTAAATGGGTGGAGTTAAATTCTTGTCCCCTAAGAGCTCTTTCCTGCATGCCCTCAACCAACTTTGTAAACTTCTAGTTTTTGTAATTCTCTTCTCTTATAACAGTCTGTGCTCTTTTTCTTCATTTTTGTTGCAAATCTGGGGAGCTTCCACTGCCCCCATTCATTTCCTCATCCTAGGGGTGTTACCTCCTCTGCCCACTGCTTGGATTTGAGGCCTTGCCACATTTAATTCATATCCACTTTGACCCAGAGGAAAACCATAATGAATAAGCTGGCAGATAAGTACCTGCACAGCTACTTAATCTAGTTTGGTTGCTTTTTTTGTTTTTTGTTTTCTTAAGGAGAGGTTACTTCAGCCCATGTTTTCTCCCAAGTGTGGTTACTGGGCCATAAAGGCTCTTCACTTTACACTTGCATAAGCCAATTCACAACTGTTTGCTATTGTGGTGTAATTCTGTTACTCTGCCTCTTCAGGTTGAAAAGGCACCTCATCTTGTCTCAATATAATATTTCAAGAATCCTCAAAGCAGCACAGAATGCTGAGTTCCAAAATGCTCAAATTCATTTCAAGTTCCATGCACCCTTTGTTTCTAATTTTGATACGGAAAACTCTTGATAAACTCCTTTTTTTCTGCACTGGAAAAACTGTGCTTCTTTGAAAGAGCACTTGGGAGCAAAACTGCCAATGGAAGACCCAGAATTCTAGAAATTGGGGAGGGGCAGGGTTTGTGTGTGAAAGAACAATTGATCAGATAATGACCATGATTCCAGAGCATTCCTTGATTACAGTGCAGATTTTCAGCTATATGATTTTTCTACAAGTTTTAGAAAAACAAACATGCAAAATAGGATGATTAAACTTCCAGGAGGTTTAGTTTCTTCTTTAGCTTTCTCCTGTCCCCCCCAAAAAGTAGAAAAAGGCTACCAACTAAACCCTTTCTGCCCTGAGGGGGCTGCAAAAATCACATGTAAAAAGCTTGACCACCTGTGGTTTAAATTGTATTGGGCACAGAAAGTGTATCAGTGAAAATGTGGAGGAAATGAAAAATTAATCTACTACTAACATCCAAACCCAAATTGTGAATATTCTTAATTGCAGCTGGTTAAAGGAAACTATTTTCATTGGTTATATTTTGGATTAAAATGGACTTGTTTCAGATAAGCAATAGTTTGCTGAACTGATCATCTGTAATCATTCAAAGCTGCAGGGAAGGCCCTCAGTAACTATCTTGAAATTGTATTGGAAAGGATATAAGTTCTTGCCTTTCTGGAGCTGATTTCCACCCCACAATCAGGTTGTTCCAATTAGGTCACATGCATTCCGGGTTATAATTCTTCAATCAGTATTAACTGGGAAAGAAGAATGTTGTAGAGCAATAGCTACGATTGAACATTACAGTATAAATAAGTGGCTATAAAACAGTCGCAGCTACCACTGCAGCTAGAAAATAAATACTTGGAGGATTCTTAGAGATGTACGTTATTACATCTGCACTACAACTTTTAACAGTCCAACTTAGCTAGTGGTGAGGTCTGCTAGAAGATGTAGTTTGATATCTGAACTTGCAACTGGTTATTTACCAGCAAGTTTTCTGAACCAGACCTTGCTCATAGTTACAGAAAGTCTATCTTCAGTTAGCAGGCACGTAGGCATTCTCTCCCTCTCCCTTTCCCTTTCTCTTTTTGTCCTTCCCCTCTCAAGGGGATGGATGATGTAGGTGCCATTGAGGCCAGGAATGTCATGGTCTTATCTGTCTGCAAACTATTCTTTTTTTGGTGTTGTTGTCAGCCCACTTTGGAAAGTAGTTCATATTCATTCTGATTGGAAGGTTTCGTCTTTGTATTAAATCTCTGCGTTGTTAGATTAGATTACATTTAGACACTAACAGATTAGAGTCCTCTCTGTTTCAATATATTGCTATTTTTATGATTTGATGTTCCTGCCATTTTATTAGAACATGTATTGTCCGTTTAATACACTCTATCGAGGTTGCTGAGAATCATTTGGGATTGGAGTAGTTTTATAAGCAAGGTAAAATAAAGAAACAAACAGATATAAATTCTTCATGTCATGTGAAATGCACATTACATTGCTGAGTTTTGGGGATTATTTTGTAATACTGTATTCAATTCCCTCATAAAAATATATCAAATCATGCCCACAATGGCTTGGTTAGTTTTTAAGGTGCTGTTAGAATGTAGGTGTGTGTGTGTCTGTGTGTGTGTGTGTGTACATACACACACACACACACACACACACACACACACACATATACATGGTGTAACAATTATTCAAAAAGTGTGTGTAATCTGAGTATAGAAATGGGGTTGTGTGGCAAACTGGAAGTATCTATGTAACTTGCATTTCCATTTCCTGTTTAGAAATTGTTCAATACCCTAGCAGAGGTGAGGCAGAAATTAAAAAAAACAAAACCAAAAATCTTCTGGCAAAAGGACTGTACTAGTCTGGGGGCATATCAGGTCTAATGTCTGTTATCTTGAAAAGCAGGTTTTCATTTAGAGACCTATAATTGGATTCTATTTCCACCTTATCATCTTGCCTCATATGTACAGCTTGGCTTTGTTTATGATAGGTTAGAGCAGTGTTTTCTCAAGTTTGACATCTTTAAAAATGCATGGACTTCAACTCCCAGAATTCCCCAAACATGCTGCGGAGGGATTTTGGGAGTTGAATTCCACAAGTTTTAAAAGGTGCCAAGTTTGGAGATCCCTGGTTTAGAGTATATGAGGTAGCTGGGCTCCCATAATAGTAAATGCTGCTAGTGATTTTCAGGATTAGATTCCTGATTTTCCACCCTCCCTCCAGTTACTTTAAGTAATGTTTGTTTGTTTGTTTGTTTGTTTGTCTGTTTGTCTGTCCATCCGTCCATCCATCTTGCTTTCACATGACTCTGGACTTTAATAAAAAGCATTGAGGTGTTAACATGATCTGTCGATTTATTTTTTATACTCTCTTCATATTGGTTGGCATTAGAACAAATTATAGATGTTACATTTGAGTTTACAGCCACTAAAAAAAAATAACAGAGATTTATTTAATCTCTAGGATTTTGAAGAAGGTTGTTTCTTGCTTACAAAATGTGGAGCCATTCAAGACACACCACAGCAAATATTTATCACAGACAAAGGAAATACAGTAATTACTTTCTTGAGTGAGATGTTTAAACCATTTGTGGAAGGTTATCAGGTATGTGTTTTTCAACATTCTTTTCACTAGTTGTCATCTTTGTTCTTGGGAGTGATAATAAATATTATATGTCAGTGCTGAGCTTCTGTCTTTAACTCTTGTTGTAAATATATTGTCTCCTAATTCCAATAGTTTTTGTACCTGTAATACATATATGCTTTCTGAGCATAAAAATGAAGAATCTCAAAGTTCCATCTTGAAAACAAGGTTGCAGAGTTTTACGGATAAGCAAGAAACGAACAAAAGAATGTGAAAATATTATGCCTAGCATTGGGTTAAACATCTGGCAAGTAAAGAGGTCTTTGCCCAGCAATTACAGTTCATCAAGTTAGGAAAGAATATGAATTTCCCTGGGGAAGAGTTGAGTTCAATGCCATGAAAAAGGCCTTTTATTTCCTTTCCTTCTATCTAATTTATGATGGCCAAGGCACCTGAAGAAGGGCCCCCAAGTGATGACCTTGATTTACAATATGTTCAAATGAGAGCAGGAAATTTTGTTACTTTTCAGATGGCTGAGTCTTTAATTCTCACAATTTTATGCTGTGCTGTCTAGGTTTGGAGCTCAACACCCAATACTACCAGGGAACCACCATGTGACCTATTTGAAACTGTTTAAGGCTTTAAAGGTTAAATTTTAAGTTGATTCATTGAATGATAACTTTTTCCCTCCATTACACCATTTTTTCTAATTTAAACAAGGCAACTTTAGTATTAACAGTGTGCTCTAATTGATTAGCACAGATATGTTCAAAGGAAAATGAAACGTGCACACCCTATTGCATCACCTCACTAAGCTGATATTTTATATGTAATTGAGTATTATTATATTATAGGATTACAGTGTGCCCATGATGCAGTGAAATGAATATTGTTTGGAGGGCTGAAATTGTCTTATCAAGCCTCTTCCTATTCGTCTTTCTGGCTTTTTAAATTTATCCTTATATCACTTATGACACAGTTTACAAGGTGCTTTGTAACGTAAAATTTACAGAAACAGATTGAGGTATGAGAAAATTTCCATTCAAAAAAGAAGAAAGAAAAATATATTTTTATTGGGATTTTTTTTAAAAATACCTCTTAACCACCAACTTCAACTCTTTCAAATACATGGAAGTTTTTTTTCAGCTCAAATGTTTCATTGTATGCCTACCTTCCCGTAAAAAGAACAGTGGCTATTTTGTGATGAGCTTAGTAACACCAATGTAACATCAGTTTAAATGTGTTTTTCTTAGATAATCTGCAAATACCTTTTTAATGAAACAAATGAAGCCTTTACTGAGAAGCACTTTGTATTTGGAGTCCGAAGCCTTGCTTCCCAGCTTCTGGAGACAGGTGTGGGATTTGGACATTACAGTGCTATACTGATGTTAGCTCTTAAATAGACGGACAGCATTTTTCATTGTCCCCATTCCTCCTGTTTAGGGAGCACTCAGTGTTATGAGGTCCTGTCTTCGGATATGCAGAAAAATGGTTTGGCTGCTTTTGTGCGACTAGGCATGGTGGCCAGAATGAAAACGTGAGTATATATCTAGAACTCTAGTATGGTCCTTGCCCAAGTTCCCTAGAGCTGTAGCTAAAATCATGAGCATTTTTTTTTTACGCATGAAGGGATCTTTCCTTGTCCTGTTCTCATTTTCCACCCAGTTTTGGAGACATTATATTTGACAGTACCATATACTGACCACAAAGAAGATAAATTAGCAAGTTTGTATGTTTTTTCTAAAGATTTATATTCATTTGATCCCTTTGTGAGCCAGAGTGTGTAATGTACAATCAAGTACCTATGAAAATGATTATTCAAACCTTAATAAAAAAATATAAAAGTTCCAATAAACCATTAAAAGATTGTGTGAATTAGGGTTTACGCCCCATCTTAAACTGCAGTAAGGAGGGGCTTACTTCTTCTGGCCAATTGTCCCATAGCCTGGTTTGTATCATGGGGAAAAAAAGACAACCATTTTTGGCACTAAAGGCAAAACCATGGCAACATCCATAAGAATATACCTTCTTAGGACTTGGATATGTAGGAGTAAGGATGGTGTAGAAGCTGGTGTTCTTGTACCTATAAGTATGGTTACACATCTAATAGATTGGATTGAAACTGAAATATTTAAGAGAACTGCTGGAAAGTTCCTGCAAACTCTACCACTACTGTTGCTACCACAATCTGGAATACCAGATGTAGTAGAGAATCTGGGAATTCCATGTCAGGAAAAGTGACAACTCTCTTCAGTGGTCCTAATTTGAAAGCCAGAGCAAACACTCCAATATGTATTGCATGACTCACAGTATGAGATCAGATGTCCATTATTTGACAGATATATAATGATGACATGAAGGACAAAATTCAGACTTGCTGTATTTATTCCCCATAGAGTTTGGAGCAATATTGCCTTGGCAGGCAATATCAAAATGACCTGAACAACAATTAGGGTATTCCAAACCCTTAAATCAGATAGCAAATGTTGCCTATGGTGAATTAATTGCTTAATACCTTCTACAGGCTGAGCTTTATTTACAAAGTATTGCGGCCAAAGGCATACCTGAAGCAAGTATTGTAGAAAAGTTATATTAATCTATGGTGACACAAAACATCTTATTTCATTTTTAAGACTAACAATTGTTATTATATGGCATTAGCATATGCCTTATAATAAAATCTGCTGTTCTTCAAAGTTTCTAGTATATGATGTTTATAAGTTGTAAGCTACCCAGAACCACTTCATAGGGAAAACAGGAGTCATAAACATGTAATAAAAAATAAAATTGAATAGAGAAATAAAATACATTGATCTAATTATTTTGCATAGTTAAACTAATGACAACATCAATACTTGACCTGAACCATACCAACAAGTGTGGCACGGATTCTGATGATATCATAAAATAGTTTAGAAGATAAATGTTTTTTATGTGCTATTTGTTTTTTTAGATAATAAATTAACAACTATCCCCCAGATTAAAATGAACAGTTATAGTTGTTACTTTTCTTTTAAAAAGACAATAAAGGTGTAAGTTTGAAACAGTAAGAAGCATTGCCAGCTCTATCAATGTGCTAAATGATGTACTTCAGCATTTAATGTCTGGAAATTTTTGCACTGTTGGCATGATTAATAAGTTTAATGTTGTTACATGCTCAGAATAGAGAATTCATAGTCCCTTTCCCCCCCCCCCAAGAAAGATTGGATATTACAGAACCTCATTCAAATTGTTTCTCTTTCCCTTCTCACTTCTACCCCCAGGATCGATGGATTCACTTACAGAGTAAATAAAGAATCCCTGGCTAAGACTGCAGGAATGTTTGGTAAGTGTGTATCTGAATAAATTATAAATCTTCCTGCCTTTCATTGCATCACTGTTTATATAGATTGTTCATTTAATTCCATGCAAATAAAACCAGTTTTAACTGAATTGTTATCATGTCATTCCCATAAATTAGGGTGGAACACCTTGTTGGCAATTGCCAATGTCCAACATTCTTACTTGTGTATAGCCACAGACCTATAACTATTCACGTTATTACATTAGTTTGTCCTTCCAGGTTTTTTATTTCCTGTCAATTAGATGATGGGTGGAATTTTATCAAAACAAAACCACCTTTGTATTCTGCATGTGTTCCTATAATTAGGGATGATCTTATTTTAAGACCTGATAAGTGCTGCATAACTGATATATAGGAACCTGGAAACGGGAACTATGACCTAAGATAATATTGTTGATATACTATTATGTCTATTTTTTTTAAATTATTGTTTTGCTGTTGATGAAAAAAAACACACTAGAAGTTAGAAATGTTAATATGATTTGAAAATGGATGCAGCAGGAGATACTGAATTATAGAGACATTGAGGTGGAGAAATTTCATCAAATGGCTTATTTGCTCTATTTGTGCTGGAGTTTTTAAATGTAATAAACCTACTACTACCATTTGTCGAGTTCATGGCAGAAAGCAGGGAAAAATATTTCTTTAATGGGTTCCTATGGTAGCCTGGCATGCCAGATTGAATGTGGCAGAAGGCAATTGGGTATTGCAAGGAGATATATTATCCATATTGACAAAGCTGTTTCTTGTAGTACTTTTTCGTATAGCAACTTACAATTCCTAAGGAACGTAGGAACTTGTAAAATATCCTTAAATTACAAGGAATGGTTTATCCTTTTGGAATGATTTTAGGGAGAAAAATATTTTTAAAACTAATAAAGCCAGGCTTTATAAAACAAATTAATAGTCAAAAGCAATGTGTTGACTCAGATTTGTCTGCCTACATTTTTATCTGCTTGAGCTAAGACATGAATTTCATATACTGTATGTGCATCTTTAGCTGCTTGATTGCTTTGATTCTAATAGACAAGATAATGAGGAACTGGGGCTTCTGTTATAGAAATTTAAGAGCAGTCTAAAGTTAGCCTTTTTCTTAAGAGAGACAATTGTGTGGGCTAAACTTCCTCTCTGGCTACATTGACTACTTATAGCAATTCAAAATTTGTCTGGATAAATGATTCCATTTTTATATTACTTGGCTTCCATGACAAAACAAGTAAACAATTCATAGACTTGCTAATGGTAGTAATGGATAACAATACATGCTAATGACCTTAGAAGTGATCAAGAGTTTTAGAAATTCTGGAGGAACTTTAAGGTCTCTATGGCTTTAGAGGATTTACATTCTATGAATGTATTTTTTTTTAATTGTAAGCTTTTATCTCAACTGGAAAAAATCAATTAAAATCTTGGAAATCTACTTCCTATTAGTGCAGGCAGAGTACTAAGTTAGATGAACTAACTTTTTGGTTCAGTAAAAGTTAGCTTTTTATTATACTCTATTCACACTGAATTAATATTTGATCCTATAGAATAAGGGAACTTATGTAAACCTCTTATGTTTTTAAAGCAGAAATCAGAAGGTATTATATTTTAGTATTTTTACATTTCTCAAAGTACAGTATTAATATAATCTGTTTTATTTGTTGCAATGAAATGGAATTGGAGCTCTATTGTGGTTTCAATGATGTTAATAATTCTACCATTATTAATAGAAATAAATCAAGACAACAGTAAAGAAAATACATTCTCCTAGACAAAAGTTTATTTGTTCATGATTATTTGTGACTCCCCATGATTTATCAGACTATGAAAAACAGTGACTTTTATGGATACTTAAAATATCACCACTTCTGACAATTAGTTTCAGTTCATTAAATATTTCTCTCTCTCTGTTGCATACTTAACAATGTGCACTATTTGGAATGTTTCTTGAGATCTTTTCTTCTCTCTGTTCAAAACTGTTGGCACACTGTATTCCTTCTTTTTTTTAGAATCTAGGATACCTGTAAGGAACTCAATGACTGCAAGGCTTTAATTGAAGAAGGCTACAATGATTTGCCTTTATGTACACTGTTAACCTTGGAGCCTGGCTGGAAATGAGGCACACAGTGAGGAAGACTACAAAATACCCTTTCCATCTTGACATGTTTTTGTTACACAGTGGTGGAGAAGAATTCCAGAAGTCAAACTGTTTACACCATCACTTGAGGAACTTTATCAGCATTAATGCTTAGGAGTCTTTGTACGTTCAAGTTCCCTACAGTGAATATCACCTGACTCCTTCTTCCATCCAGATATTAATATTTGAATAGTAAGGTAATATCTGAAATGTTTGTCATGATAACAAGCTGATTGCTTTTCTATGGTTGTTTTGTGGTTGTGAAAAAAAAGTAAGCTAAGGTTATATAACGTTGAAAGCAATATTTAAAGAAAACGATGATTGCCATTGTATTTATGAAAGATTAATCTGTTTCATGGAAATTAATACCCACAAAATGTTAATGATGTAACTGATTTTTAAAAAGGTGGTATTTGCAACTCTTGGAATATTAAAAACTAACACAGAAGGCATGTGTGCTACTTGCTGTTCTCGGTTGTCGCACACAGTCTTAAATGTGCATGGCATTTTTTCCCCCTTTCCTTGCTATTAGGAGCAAATATTCTATCAACTCCCCATTACAATGTCTCTAAAAAAATTCCTAAAATCTGATATTTGAAGAAGATGAGGTCATGCTTTCATTCAATGTCACCACACACTATATATCCATAGATCCAGAATTAGTGAAAGAATCCATGGCAGAACTACTATATAATACAACTGACATAACCAAAAATACACTGATTGAAATACCCAGAATCAGGGACCCCATCAGCTTTTGCTTTACCATCTACTGTATTTTTCGGAGTATAAGACAACTTAGTTTTTCGGGAGGGAAATTTCCGTCTACCAGGTATTCATTTTTATTCCCATAGCACCAGAAAAGTAAGCAAACACAATCTATATAAATAAAAATGTAAATGTCCACTTGTTCAAATCTTAAATCTCCGAAAGTTCTTCACCGATTGCTTTGAAATTTTGACACAACATTGCATTCGAATACGCACGTGTTTTTATATACCTATATTATATAGATGTCACACCTGTGATAGGTAAAAACATGCTTTTTTGAAAACCAATGCCATCTGTTGGACATAAAAGCAACACACGCTATACTAAATATTTCACGATTCCATTTCAATGTTTCCCATAGCATTGTT